TGTTTAGTTTGTAATATAAACTCAATATGTTTGAAATATATGATTCATATCGTAGAGGCTGAGATTGGTGCTCTGGAGTTAATAGACAGGACTAGATGGGAAGAAGGACCAGTAATGATTCTAGATTGCTCGTACGGGTTTATTCATTATTGGTCCAGTCGATAATTCACTGTCTTCTAAGTTCCCAAGCCTAGTAAAAAATTACATATTAGTTGACTATCAACTTTCTTATTAAATCAACATACGATTAAAGTTCCATCTATCGACACTTGCAAAAGAAAGTTGGATCAATTAAGAGATTATCACTACTATGACTAGTACAGATCATCAAACCTCATATCCTTTCTAAACTAAAACTGATACTGATATTATTAAAGAGAGTAAACAATGAAGATTGATGCAGAATAATAAATGGATTCATTTTATGTTGCTAGGTTCTCATCAATTGCTTATAACCTATTTAATAGTTGACAATCCATATTATTACAGATATGGTTATACTTATACATAAGTATAAGGGTGATTAAAGATGAATCTATGTGTATCATGATATAGCGAAGATTCCGATAGAGTTCATAAGGTCATTAGAAATGTTTTGTTTTGTTTAAATATAGTTTGTAAAGGGAAAATTTCAGACTATTGAACTAGTGATTAGAATTCATAGAGTTAACAAACATTAGATGATTATGTAATGAGGTGACTGAAAATAAATTAATGATAATAAAGAAATATCAGAAGGGGTTTTGTAGAGATTGTAGTAATCTAAACAGTTGAGATCATGAGTCAATTGAAGCTAGACCACTATGGAAAACCTGGGAGCACTGGGTGGTTGTTTCGTCCTATTGAGGGACTCAGCAGTAGGTATCCACGACCCCGCCTCGCGGGACTCGAACCCAGGACCTATCGGTCTCGCTTCAGGCGCTTAACCAACTAGATCACTGAGCTGGCCGGCATCCAATGGTTTTAATGTCTAACTTCAATTAACTCAGATAGATAGGAAGATATAAATTGAAATTTTAAAAAAAATGACAATGATATAATTTAAACTTCAGAAAGAGTTGAAATAATGAATGATGTAATAAATAAAAATAGGAGGGATTAATGTTACCAGGGTTAAAAAAAGATTTATTACAAAAGAGACAGTAATAACCTCCATATTAACTCTATCGGAATCTTTGCTATATCATGATACACATATATTCATCTTTAATCACCCTTTTACTTATGTATAAGTATATCACTATCTGTAATAAAATTGATTGTCAAATATTTAATAGGTATTTCACTTGTTGAAATCATGAGCCAATTGAAGTTAGACCACTATGGGAAACCTTGAAGCACTAGACGGCTGTTTCATCCTAGTATGGGACTCCTCAGCAGTGCGCATCCATGATCCCGCACACCTCGAGATTCGAACCCAGGACCTACCAGTCTCGCGCCAGGCGTTTAACCAACTAGACCACTGAGTCAGCATCCAACGGTGTTAATGTCTAACTTCAACCAATTCACGAAGTTGCGCCACCGTACACTATTGTCTTCAGTGAGTTACTATCTCACAACAGATCTGATTGAACTCCACTGGTAACGACTTCTTACTAGAACTCCAGGAGTAAGCAAGGTAAGCAGAACCTAGCAGCATAAAATGAATCCATTTATTATTCTGCATCAATCTTCATTGTTTACTCTCTTTAAGATAATAAAGTGAACTATGTATATGATACTGATATAATTATAGATTATATTCTTTATATTAAGGAATAATACAATATTTTACATAAACAAACCTTTAGATTGATTTATCTCTATACAATTTTCATTTGATATAATAGATAATTGATTATTGAATATAATTTTATTAGATTTGATTGGTTGATTTTGTTTATCATTTATTGATTTTTTATTAATTTTATTATGTAATTTATTTTTATTGATTTTTGATGAATGAATTATTGACATAAATGGACATTGTAATAAAAGTTTTTCAAATTCTTCAGTTGATTTTACAAATGATGGATGTTTATGAAATGAATTTTGTTTAGATTGCATTATAATCGTGTTTCTTTTTCTTGGAAGGGGGGGGGTGTAGAACAGTAGGGAGCTAGGGGAACTTTATAAAGTAATTTTTAAATGAAATAAGTTGGATACTGTTGTTGTAGTTGTCATGAAACTAATGATTAATTAAATAATAATTGAATAAATAATATTTTCTTTTAATCCAATAAAAAAAATCAATAAAATTGGGCGATAACCATGGAAATTTATTGGTGTATAATAATTAACCAATCAAATTATATTAATGGGTAAATAGTTCTTTATCTTTTTTGTTGTTGTTTCAATGAGTTTATCATTATGACTTATTTCTTTAGTGAAGTATCAATCAGATACAACAGTAAGTTAATAAAGATCTTAATTCATCATGCTAGAATGATTTGCTTGGATGACATTATGGTTAATATTGGTAACTTGCTTAGTAGGAATGGATACATAATGAAATTCATTGACAACTATATGACGGAGATAAAAAGAAGGACAATTGTACTTATCTAAATTTACATGCTGTTGTTTTACTTGTATCTTTCTATTGTTATTTAGGTCTACAATTGATCAGTCTGTTGTTGGCATATGTGCATCCTGTGCGGATCGACTCGCTATAGTTGTAAGTCACAAGCTTTTTAAGTAAAGATGGATAGTAGCTAGCAATGTCTATATCGAGGTAATACGCACAGGATGTACATATGTCAACAAGAGACTGATCAATTGCAATACTAAATAATAATAGGAAGATACAAGTAAAGCAACACCAAGTGTATTAAAACTTCACCCCAGTGTACAACTAGGTGGCTATCAGAACTCAGTAGCTAAGTGGATAATGTGATGGCGTTTGAAGCGAACGGTACTGAGTTCGAGTCCCAGAGTGAACATCAACTCTGAGATGCAGGCACATCCGGCTGACGAGTCCGAAATAGGACGAAACCCGAGTCCTGGATTTCACTGCAGGCTACAATCTATAATTGTACCTGCCATTCCGAAAAAAAGTGATGTTCTTAAAATTACAATTCCTAAATGATGCTACTGAAGAAATTATGACTCAAACGTTAATGAAGGCTGTACAAAAAGCATTTTATTCAGCCAGACTAAGTACCATCTTTTACAAACACCCCATAATAAAAACGGTTATAAAGACACTGACTAAATTTTTATATCTATGTGTACTCACCAATTCAACGGCTCCTGTAAAGCCAGTCTTATACCGTGTACAATTCGGTAAGTCTATCATCGAATAACAAAACATCATCCGTTTTCGTTGACTAAAAGACAATTAAGAGTGATAACGAGTTCTCTGCTCGTTCACTTGATAAGTGGAATTGAATAAAGATTTTAAGGTTATCCACCATATTCCATCAAATTTGTCGCATCGTTTACGAGTTCGCTTTTTGCACATTGAAGCCATTAGAATCCATGTTTACAAACCAAACTTGTGCGTATAAAATAAGTTTGCACAATCACTTTTGCTTCCTTGGCTATCAGTGTAAGATCGAATTGGTAACAGAAATTTGACAAACTGCTTTAGTATTTCTTCCACCACCATGGAAAACCTGGAAGCTCTGGACGACCGTTTTGTCCTAGTGTAGGACACCTCAGTAGTGCACATCCACTATCCTACCCTCAGGGCTCAAACCCAGGACCTTATGGGGTGGATGCGCAATGCTGAGGAGTTTCATACTAAGACGAAACGGTCGTCCAGTGCTTCCACTTTATCCATAGTGGTCTATGTTTAGTCGAATTATGAATTCAACTAATAAATTACTACACTCTTCACATAACCCCTTTTCTTATACGGAAGTAAGTTTACTCGCAAAATAATTCCTGCAGACACCTAAATGAAAACCAGTGAAAACTGGAACGTTATATGACACTTCTCAATAATGTGTATACTTGATAGATAAATAGAATCAAGGATATTTAAGTCTTTTGTTAAACAACTAATAGTAAGATTATAGTATTGCAGTTCAATAGAATACATTCTCTATGTCAATTGTCGTTCATCTGAATGATTTTCAGTTCATGAAAAGATGATTGAATATCATTCATCAATCTTCAACTTACTGAAGTGGTACTGAAGTAGTCCAATGAAACGAATTAAACAAATTCAATTTAGTTAATGGAATAAACTTTTCTGGTTTATGTATATATGTAACCAGAAACAGGATGTACGGTATGCACAACCTTCAATCTCTTAGTTATTTGGAATTTCTTTAAAATTAGTTGTAGTTTAAGTGGACTTCTTTCCCGCCATAAAAAGCAGATGACAATAGTTTCATTGTACTTAACTTATAATTGTATATATCTTTTCTTTAGTTAATGTCAATGATAGCGAACAGTCTATTTTAGTTGCAGTTCTTGACATTTACAACAACGAGAAACATTAACACTTATAAATTAGATTCATTTATGTTGCCTTAACTGATTGGTTATCCGAACTCAATAGCACTCACTAGATAGTGAGCTAGCGTTTTAATCAAAACAAACTTGACTCGAATCCCAGAGTAAACACCAACATTAGGGTCTAGCTCACGATATCTAAATAAGAAAGAAACAACTTCCTAGATTTCATTACTAGACAATGTTTGAGCTTAATGTTATGGTACTCTTGTATATGATTCTCAAGTCGTACGGTGGTGTAATTTCGTGGATTAGTCGAAGTTAGATAATAACACTGTTGGATACCGGATCAGTGGTCCAGAAGTTAGGCGTTCGAACCTCGTGGATGCGCACTGCTGAGGAGTCTCATATTGGAACGAAACGTCTGTGTTAGTGCTTTCACATTTTCCATGATGATCCAGCTTCATTTGACTTATGAATTCAACTAAAAAAATTACTAAAATCTCTACAAAATCCATCTGTAACCTCTTTATAAATCATGAACATATAAATATTGATCGATTATCACACTTATTCTATAGAAAAATCAGCATTGATAAATAAGAATTAAGAAAATGTGATCATTATAGAAATTAATTATTGATTTCAAATGTATGATTATTACATAATGGAAACAAAAAGAAACAAACTAAAGATTAAGAAAAATCAATCAAATTTTTTTGATATGAAATTATCAGTTATTCATGGTTATTCACCATGGCAACTAAAAATATACATTATAATATTTTATTGTTTTTTATGTTTATCAAACCATGATTTCATAAATAACATATAATATCTCCAAATTGAATTTGGTAATAAACTAGTGAAATATTCTTTAATTGCATGACCAATATAACCAAATGTTTCTTGTTCAACACCTAACATATCTAATGCACATTTCCCATAGTCTTTTGCATTTGGGACAAATAATGACATTTTACAATAACCATTCATTGCTGTAGATACAAACATTGGACAAACTGTTTGTATATGAATACGATGATCATAATTCTCATTCGAAATGGATCGAGATAATTGATTGACAAATGCTTTTGTTGCTGAATATAATGATAATAATGGAAATGGTCTATAACCAGAATGTGATCCAATATTAATGATAGCCATATCAGTTGTGGGTTGTTTTAACATTTTCGGTAATACTAAATGGGTCATCATAGCAATAGGTAAAGTATTACAAAAAACGATGTTTTTAATAAAATCTATAGTTATATAATCTGCTGTTGCGTAATAGTCTAATTTAGGAACACCCATACCAACATTATTGACTAAACAAGCAATTGATGATAATTGATCTATAGCTTCTTGTATTCTTTGATAGACATCAGTCTGTGTTAAAGAAAAGAACAAAACGTGAATTGATGAATATGGGATATAATAATTTCAGTTGGTTGAGATCATGAGTCAATTGAAGCTAGAGTTCTAGTGAGAAGCAGTGATCAGTGGAGTTCAACTGGGTCTGCTGTGAGATAGTAACTCATTGAAGATGATGGCGGATCTGTGGCTCAATTTCATGAATTAGTTAGAGTTAGACATTAACACTGTTGGATGCTGGCCAGCTCAATGGTTTAGACGTTAATCGCTCGCGCGTGAGACCGATATGTTTTGAGTTCGAATCTCGTGAGGCGGGATCGTAGATGCGCACTGATGAGGAGTCCGGCAATAGGACGGAACTGTCGTTCAGTGCTTTCACGATTTTCCATAGTGGTCTAGTTTCAATTGGCTCATGATCTCAACCAATGGAATTGCTATAATATCCACAAAACCCCCTTCTGATATAAAAAAAATTTTAGTTTGAAATTAGCGTAAAGAGACAATAACTAAGAATAGGGAGTAATAGACAAGTGTTTTTCATTAGTATGCAACTATTTTATATCACCTCGCCTACAAGCTAGATAGGATTCTTGTTCATATAGAAAACATAAAGAACAAATTTAGGAACAAATATATATGAACACTTATTTACAAGGTAAACTGCATAGATCCTGAGAAGTAATACAGCAACCAAAGATGTAGTTCATTGTACTAATAGTAATACATATACTAATCAATTTGAGAAACTATGAAATTGATCTAAAAAACAGATCCTATAAAACTCTAAGATCTCGTTCTAAACGTGATATAACTCTATCAATGAGTTTAATTCTAATCCATTAAACAAACTCTCTAATCTTCTATGAATTTGCAATCAATACTTCTTTGATTACAGTCCATTAACCAAATCATAATTTCATGATTATACTAAATGATTTCAACAAAAAATAATCATCAGCTACATATTACTGATAGACTTTGAGTAAAATTAAACAAACGGAATATACCCATGAAGACATTAAATAAGAAAGATTAGTTCAGTGAAGTGTTATCTTTTCGGTGAATTCATTTTCAAAGTCGTACAATTGCAAATGAATATATACTTATGTCTTTTTTTCTCAGGATGATAATAAACTTCTGTTAGACATGGTAACAGTGAGGTAACATAAAGAAAGATATGGCTATTGCTTCGTCAATGCAAAGAAGACGTAGAGTGTATCATGATTGAGTGATCTGTGTTCACATGGTGTTCGATTATTGAACTTCTTATTGAACCATTTCGTCGTCTTCGTAGCCACGCCGGATAATGTTCTTGAATTCTTTTGGATAAAGTACATATCGAACAACCTATATACATAGCTCTACATGAGCAGGTAAATTGGTAAATGCACATTGAATTGGTCAGATACGATAATTTATCTTTAAGATTATTAGTGAGCAATGATTGGCTGAACAATACTATTCGTGATGTTGCTGCAAAGAATAAACTCTTCACTGAACTAATCTTTCTTATTTAAAATTTAACAATCTCATTCCATGATATTATAGGTTATGCTTTTTGTATTATGCCGGAGATATATACATCGATCATGTTTTCAGATACAAAAGAACTATTATTATAAATCCCAATTAATCAATCAACCACCACTGAATTAACTACTTGTATGAATCCGGTGTTCATCTTGTTGTGCTAATGAGGTATGGCTACTTGGACCGATGAATATATATGCCTGATCCTACGATGTAACTGACTGACTGGTCAGTACTAAACTTTTTCTTAATATTCAAATAAACTCAATTCATCACTTAGAATACTCACACATACCTATATTATCAATGCAATTTTGATGACATTTTCTTTATGGAATTCAGATATAAGTAGTTATTTTGCTTAAGCTATCATTTAAAAAAATTAAATATATAATAGAAATTTGGCGGCCTGTTGGAATGGCTAGGCTACCTGTTCCAGTCATCGAGATATTTCAGTAAATTATCTAACTTTAGAAGGGGCTTTTGTGGATATTATAGTAATTTTAATAGTTAAAATCATGAGTCTATTGAAGCTAGACTACCATGGAAAGCCTGGAAGCACTGAACAAACATTTCGTCCTATTATGGGACTCCTGAGCAATGCCCATTCACGATCTCACCTCGCGAAATTCGAACTTGGGACATATCGATCTTGAATACAAGACCATGTTGGTCTAGCTTTAATTGACTAATGACCTCAACAATTAAAATCATCTAATTTTGCTTATTTTATACTTATTCATCGCATAACCTATTCATCAGATGCATTTCTAAAGAATATACAATCTTTCGTTCTACAAGTTACAAAAGACCTAATCAGAGATATTGTGGTTGTTGGCAGTATTCAGCTAAAATAATCTATATGAGTTAAATATCGATTGATTGGACTACTAACTTCTACCTGACGATCAGTGAATATTTATCATCAAGATCGATCAAGAAATAAGAAACAGAAAGTTTTTGAAATATTTTGTGCTGACCATTCTATTTTGTACCAAAAATATAATATTGAATAAAGTAGTTATAATAATAACACAACCTATGGAAAGGTATACACATAGTCGTCTAGATTCTTAGTACAATTGAATAGTCATTGATTTAAATGTCGATTTCGAAAGATCATATAGTATCTAAATAAAGACTACCATAACAATCTTATAATTAATTAGAATTTTAACTTATATATATACCCTCATTTAGACGTGATATGTAGGTAGACATTTTCAATGTCAGTCTGGTGTCGCTCAAAAGTGGTCCATAAATTATAGTCTCACCAATATTGACTTACCTTTGTAAAATCAACTGTTACTATTCTTGTCTCTACATGATAATTACGTTCAATCTCATTAGCAACATTCAAAAGTTTCTCTTCATTTCTACTAATCAACATAATTTTCAAACCATCATTAGCTAATTCTTCTGCATATACTTTACCAATTCCATCTGTTGCACCAGTGACAATTGCCCATTCACCAGCTTGTTTTAATAATTTTCTTTTAGAGAATAATCTCTTTCCAATTGTATAAATGAATATGATGTATAGAAGAGAGATGAGTTGTTTCATTAGAAATAAACAAATTATAACACGAATGAGATAGACCCAATCCATCTATAAAATGGAAAATTAGACAATTGATAACTTGAAGATGTTAACCTATTCAATGATTTAACTTAATATACATTTTCATTATGAACTGATATCAGTCAGAGACTATAAAGTACTGAAAGCCTATAGTAGGTGCAATTGTAGCTTAGCATTAAAGAATTATCATACGCACTAGAAGACTAAATGGTTGTGGAGTCAACCTCTTCTGAGGCGGGTTCATACAATCCAAGATTCAAAAGAGTAGAGATGTTGATGATAATTAATTAAATTACTCCTTATATTTGCAATAGACAAATATATTAACTACTTACCTACTTATGCCTCTTACCACCAATGGAACATAGGCCGCTGACCAGCATTCGCCAACCCATTCTATCCTGAGCCTTACTTTCCAGTTCTATCCTATTTTCGTTCATTTTTCTCATGTCTGTCTCCATTTCTCGGTGTAATGTGTTCTTTGGTCTTCTTCTCCTACTTTGGCTTTGAGAGTTCCATGTGAGGGCTTGTCTTGTGACGCAGTTGGGTGCCTTCCTCAATGTGTATCCTATCCACTTCCTCCACTTCTTCCTGATTTCTTCCTCCTCTAAGATCTGGTTTGTTCTCTCCCACAATAGATTGTTGCTGATAGTGTCTGTGACTGGTAAACGGATCCGAAGTATTTTGCATAGATAACTGTTAAAAAACGCTTGTGTCTTCTGAGTGATGGCTTTCTTAGTTCTCCAGATTTCCACTCCATACAGTAGAATTGTTTTGACATTTGTATTGAAAATTCTGACTACGGTGATGATATACAATTGTTCTGAGTTCCAGATGTTCTTCAGTTGTAGATATGCTACTCTTGCTTTTCCAACCAGCGCCTTCACAGCTGCATCAGATCCACCATGTTCATCAATGATGCTGCCCAAATATCTGAAGGCTTTTACATCTTCCAAATCTTCTCCGTCAATTGTGATTGGATTAGTGCATGCTATGTCGGATCAGAGAATCTTGCCTTGTTTTTTGTGTATGTTGAGACCTACTGCTGCTTAGGATGCTGCTTAGGATGCTGCTTCACTGGTTGTGTTCTCCTACATTTGTTTTTGCGTGTGAGACAGAAGAGCTAGATCATCTGCGAAGGTCGTCCAACTGCATCCTAGCTGTCCACTGTATCCAGTACTTCTCCCCCGCCCCCAGCTGTTGCCGTCTTCATGATCCAGTCGATCACCAGGAGAAAGAGAAAGGGTGAAAGTAAGCAACCTTGTTTAACACCTATCTTTACTTCGAATGAGTCTGTGACCTGTTCCCTCATGCACGACTTTGCAGTTTAATCCATCATAGGAATTCCGTATGATATTGACTATCTTTTCAGGTACGCCGTAGTATCGAAGAAGCTTCCATAGTGTTTTCCTGTCCATGCTGTCAAATACTTTGTCGTAGTCAATGAAGTTTGTGTAGAGTAATGAATCCCATTCAATTGATTGTTCCACAATGATCTGTAGTGTTGAGATTTGGTCTGTACACGATCGATCCTTACGGAATCCATCCTGTTGGTCTCGAATTTGGGCGTCTACGGGGTCCTTCTTTCTTTTTAACAATACCCTGTTGAAGACTTTTCCTGGTATTGAGAGAAGAGTAATGTCTTTGTAGTTGTTACACTTGCTAAGATCGTCTTTCTTTGATGTCTTGATGAAATGTCTTTCTTTTCAGTCTGTTGGTACTTGTTCTTCATTCCAAATCTTGTTGAAGAGAATGTTGAGTATCTTTGCCATTACTTCTACATCTACTTTCAATACTTCTACTGGAATGTTGTCTGATCCTCCTACTTTACCGCTCTTGATTTGTTCAATAGACATGAGACAATTATATAATTGTACAAAATATATTTCTTATTACCCATTCACTAATCCCAATATCTTGACAAATATTTATCATCCATATATTTACATTTAGCATACACTTTGAAGGAATTACAAAACTTTACTGCATAGTAACTCATTTAAACATTAGATTAATTAATTTTAACAACTTACTTGTTAATGATGAGTGAAAAACCAAAAAAAAAAAGAGAGAGAAACTGATATATACTCGATCAATTCAATATGATTATGTGCTAAATGATCCAATCAAATGTCAAGATGAATGATCAATGCAAATGATCAATGTCAATATGTGTTTTAATGAAACTTGTGATTGAAATATTTGTTTTTTTTTCTTATTTAGCAACAAAATGTATTTTGTAATGAATGAAAGTGTATTAGACAGAAGTTCAGTTTTAAAAAATAAAAAAAAGATTTATGGATTGGATAATGATGTTCAATTTATCAATAGTTTACCATCGTTTTTCGTATGAAAATCGTTCAATCTATCAGGTTCGATGTGTGTGTTTTTTTTTTCATTTCGGCAGCAACTTGTATGACTCTCTCGGTCTTCCACATTATACAAGCACTGCATGTACCTAGATAAATGGTTATTCTGGTTATCAGAAGGGGTCTCGTCACTTCCGAAGGAATTCGGCATTCATCATGAGATGTTTTAACTCTTCTAAATGAAGACCTTCCAATTCCCAGGACAAAGTTTAAATGGTTTAAATTATTTTGTCTGTTTAATGTTTTAAAGCGAGTTACGTTTCCATAGGATGGGGTCGTTAACCCCGTTTTCAACCCTCCTCCTTTTTATGGGCTTGGGATCGGCAGTAGCCCCATGCGGAGTTCAGTAATCATTATCAGTCAAACTATATGAAATTGATAGGTAAACAGTTGAGAATTATTGTAAACATTTAAATTTTACAAGGTATTAATCACTGTACATTTAGGTGATTATTAAATTCTCTAATTTTTGTTTGGAAGAGAAGTGAATGAGATTACTTGAAGGGATTATCAGTTTGTTTAATATTTAAGATACACCATTCGAATCAGTAGTAAACAGTTAACCCGCCATGTTATTGTTCATGCTTACCAAAAATGATGATTACTAACTTACTTTGTCAAATAACAGTTCTCTTATTATCATTCATGAAGTCTTTGAACTAACGTACATTTGTGAATTATATAAAGTAACTACTTACAAATACTCATGATGTTATTCTGTCATACTTTATTCCTAATCTTTGAATTCCAATGTCAATCAGCTCCTGATTGTCTGACTCATTCACATAACTTATTCGTGATCATCCAGTCAACTAAAAAATGATAATCGACCGATTATATCTAATAGAGATTAGAAACAATGGGAACAGGAACTTGAATCAATATCGAATGATATCATTTCCTCAACTGTTAAAATTTGATATAGTCATACAAATAATAAATAGAAAATATTCTTTACAGTAACATCCTTATGTTTACATGTTTACGGTAACACGAAACATTCACACCATCAGGGAGGTTTGCGATTCAGTAGTAGTATCAATCATGAATACTCCTAAAGTTGTTTATGGTTGATTAACTGCATATTCTAAGTCCTATCTTTTCATTTTATATAATGTGTACTACTGATAATGAACATATAAGTAGTTTGAATTCTTTATAATCATTTCCAATGTTTGTTCTAGAAATTTTTGAATGATGTTACGAACCACATATTACATATTATATATTATCTTTTAGGACGATGAAAATGCATTCACAGTTTGAATATATTAGAAGTCAATAATATATAAATAATTACTAATATAGATAATCCAATTACTTTAATTTGTAATAAGTTTAAGGGAATTGAAGAGAGAGATTGATTTTGAATACAGTGATCTTGAGTGCTGTGAGAGGTATGCGAGCGATTATCACTTCCGGGTGCCCACACCGTGGAAGAGTTCTCCTGGAGGTACCTGAAAAGGAAATTCGATTGGAGGTGGTCTTAGTGACCTGAGAGCGTGACCGCAGTGCCCAAGAGGCAACTGCTTGAGGCCGGTCAAACACGATTTTTCTGTGAGTAATTTTTGTGTTCGTTTACCGACAGAGACGGATAAGACGAGGTGTGCATTTTTAGGGCCAAACTTTTCTAACCCCAACCTTCCTTGTGTGAAGGAAGAATCGCTGTCATGCTGGTTGTCTGAAAGAAATACCTTACTGTCGTCACACCTCTGTACAGTCAGCAGTACAACTTCGCCTTCGGACCTTGTGTTTGTTACTTTTAGTCTTACCGCTCTTCAACCAACCTGTCTGACATAGTAGGACCTTGTGGAATAATTGTTCCATCCAGTATAGCTCGTTTGTTTCATCACGATAGGTAAGCCCGACCACGACCTCAAGGTAGCAGAAACGATCGGGAGTAATGAGTTTAATTAGTGTTAGATAAGAAATGAAATATTGTGTGATTTTGTATTGTTTGAGTACAAATGAATGAATGTATTAATTTGGCTGTGATTAAATATGTGAAATTAAAAAGTCAACAGAGATACATAACCATTTTCAAAAGGTGATCATAGCGGCGAAGTCACATTGTGCAAAGCTCAACATAAGCTGTAACTAGCAAAGTGGAGTATACACAATTCAGAAACGTGGCGTATTTTTGGCTCAAGTTGTCACACTATACAAGTACATTGAGATGAAATTGTCAAGATAGTGGAAAGTATTAGGTATAAATCATATGATACCAGAGGAAATAATCGATTTAGAGATTAAAACAAACTTTCAGTAATTTTGAAATTTAGAATCTAACGCACAATGGACCTTGTCTGAACATTGTCATTCGTCTCTCATCATCAATAAATATAGCGTTATGAACCACAACAATATAGTCAGCATTAACCAACATGGTTGGATCTATCAGAAAACTGTTTCATGATAGTAACGTAGGCTATTGAATCAACAAATGTTTTCATTCAACGAAATGAAATGGTCCTGTAACTTCGTACTAAACATGCCCTGTTTCTGATAGCGCCAAGAAAGTACCAACTGTATTTATTATCAGTTAAACTCCTTTATAATCTATTAGATTACAATCTCAGTAAACCTTTAAACCGAGTTAGATTGAGAATTAGTTACCTAGACAAAATGAGAGTGGAGATGACACGTAGTTACTCATCACAACTCCCGCTATTTCCTAAAGTCTTCGTAGAGGGTTAGGCCTTTTACTTGACTAACGCCGAACACGATAAACAATTAACGGTACTCGAACTCACAGAACCCCAACGGTCACAAATCAGAAGACAGAAGGAACGGGATAAGTGATTATTAGGTAACAGTGAAAAATGTACAAAAAATCATGGCTGTTCATAGATATGAGCGTCAGCTATAACATGATTATAATTCAGCTAATCTACAAGGACGCAAGTCATGCAACTGTCCAACCGTAGCGTACAACGTTGATATTCTAAAAAAACACTAACAGGTTCTGATTGGGTGGCAACTCTTCGGCTCCTTAGAGCTTCTGGAAACTCCATCGTGCTTCTCAAAAGCCGTCACAACATAGAGCAAACATATATCAGAAAAACCTTTTGATGACACTATTAAAAAGTCCAATACCAGGACAAAACAGCCATCCAGTATTCCCCAGTTTTCCTTAGCTTCATAACTACGATAAATTCGTAAATCAAGCTATGAAAATAAGAGAAAAACTGAGTATAGTATACATAATCACACGGATCAATTAATGATATATTTTAGCCTTAAACCATTCAGTTTTTCCTCAGGTAAACATATATATTATCAGAAAGAAGTTTTGTGGAGATATTAGTAATTTAATAGTTGGATTCATAAGTCATGTAAAGCGAGACCACAATGGGAAACCGTAAAACACTGGACTGTCGTTTCGTCCTAGCATGATACTCATAAGCGATGCACATCTACGGTCCTGCCTCACGAGGAACTATCTGTCTCGCGCGCGAATGCTTAACCTGTAGACCACTGAGCCGGCATTCAACAATGTTAATGTTTAACTTCAACATAAACAGTGTGTAACATTGATCAAAACTTGAATAGCTGTCAGTAGAAGGCTTTTTATTTTATTTTATTTAAACACATAAAGATTGGTAGAAGAAGGCAATCCCATGGTAGCCGGTGGCCAATAATTGGTTCATACACCATTTGTTACCTCAGGATCCTGGAACGCATGTGCACCATTGATTTTGAATCAGGGTTTTCCAACTCCCCTAGGTAGACTCTCCGTGTCCACCAGTCCGGTTAAAGCGTCGGACATTTGCTTTTTGTCCTCTCAATTTTGTAAACAATACACCCGTCGTGAGTAAGACTTCCCTGAAAGTGGTTGTATTCAGGTGGCCAGAAAACTAAGAAGATTAAATTGAAGAAAATAGAAATGAAAATAGAAAGGGAATGTAACTTGAAAAAAAAATCATACAATATATAGGAGGGATAATTGAAGGAAGGTTTGTAATTGAAGCATTTAATGTATAGTTCTCATATTTTACGAAGATATTCTATAGTTTGTATCGGAAAATACAATGGTTGTCTCCATCTGTCTTCTCGTTCATTACATATATATCCATCTTTTATACTTTATTTTTAATCGTTTCGCTAAACTATAACATGTTACCTAAATCTGAAATAAAGTGATTATATAAAATCTATCATTAAAACATTGATGCTTTTCATAAGAGATTTATTTAATAAGATCTACTTTAAATAAGATGTCATTCACTTTACTTTTTCAGAGTCATTCAACAGAATATCGATCAGAAATATAACTATTTAGATTGTTTATCCAACATTTAAACAATCTTGAGAATGTTTCTGATATGTGTGTAAGAATGATAATGACTGGCTTCATGAGGTATTTCATGGAGTTCTCGTGAGAAGTAGTGATTAGTGGAGTTCAACCGAGTCTGTTTTGAGATAGTAACTCAATGAAGACAACGGCGGATATGTTGTTCAATTTCGTGAATTAGTTGAAGTTATAAATTAACATCGTTAGATGGCGGTCGGCTCAGTGGTCTAGTGGTTAAGTGTTCACGTGCGAGACTGATAGTTCCTAGGTCCGAATCTGTCGAGGAGCGATCGTGAGTACGCACTTCTGAGGAATCCTAAAATAGGATGAAATGGTCGTTCAATGCTTCCAGGTTTTCCATGATGGTCTAGCTTCAATTGGCTCATCATCTCAACTAATGAAATTGCTATAATATCCACCAAACCCCACTTTTGATAATAATGATTATTTGTTCGCTTAGTCAGAATTGTAGATA